TTGCCCCCCCCCCCCCCCCCCATTGGGATGAATAGCCAAAAAAGAATGTTACAATCACAGTGTTTGACTGATATATTCGCAAGAAAACATAACACGAGTTGCGTCGTGTGTTATTACGATGAAATGATTCTGTAAGAGACTTTCGATGCCCCTGCCTCCCTCCTCATACTTTAGCCGAAAATCCAGATACGACTCCAAACTCCGGCTTCGCGGCTGGAGAAAATTCACTTGATCGAGTACTCGCGCGAACTCGATACATCCGCGAGATACACTCATACACTTACCGTTCCTCTCGGATAGCTCGATAGGCGGCTTATGACAACGCGACGGTCGAAAGCGTCTACGAAAATCCACACGGAATTATCGACGACTATTAATCTTGTTTGTCGGTCTACCCTTCCGTTTCATGTCTTGCCGAGCGGAAGACATGGACAACATGGCGGCACCGAAAGGGCGGGTACTTCCTGCTCTGGCGATCACTGTAAACCGCCGTAAACACGTCGCGGTAGTAGAGGTTATGTCGCTCAATCATTGAGACGGATTTTGGGCTAAATTTGTCAGACACATCCGCGTTTAGTTGCTAATAAAACTATCATTATCATGTGGATACGCGTCGCGAATAAACTGAATAAACTTGTGTTTCTCGAAAATATTAATATCAATTCTCGTACATAAGAATTGCTCTTTTTACCGACATAACAGTAATCATACCGCCGACCGGTCGTACTGTTGCAGCAAGCTTGTGCGTTCTTACACTAGTAGAAAACAAAACTGATATTTTAATACTCTTGCTGTCTTGACAATTTTTCCAACACACGATTGACGCAAGGTTGAAAAATTCATTGTCTTCTTGCGATACAATAATACATATTCTCGCAAGATAATTATGTGTAATCGCATTTGTTTGGACAGAGATGAGATTTTTTGTGTCATTCTACACGCTAAATTACACTACATCTGTGCGCACATGTATGATAAGATGCCGATGTGAAATCTTTATTAACTTTGGAAATTTACTCTTTGGCTCCTTTTAGTCATAATGAATGTGTAAAAATGAAGGTATTGCTTTTATTTTTTATACAGCTATACACACTCCTTAGAGGTGAGCCTAATGCCTTCTCAATATATCTTGACAATGTTCCAAAAGTGCGTCTATGCCTACTGCATTCCTAAAATTTGACCGGCAGCTATGTAATTTTTGATATAACAGCTCTGGGGAAATCTTTGCGACGCGTTTCAATGCATCTGAAAAAAAAAGCAGAAAAAGAAAGACAATTGTATTGTTGATTATATCGCGATGTATTATGGCAAACGTAGTTTATTGCATAACTGTGCAAAAAAAGGGAAAACAATAATCTCTCATTGTTACCAAATATCACTAGTCGAAAGTTAGACTCTGGATCATCCAGATGTACAATCATCGTCGTGTAGAGAGCGTCAATGTGACTCCTGCCGATGACAATATCGTAATTCTCGGACACGGCGTTCCACACTTCCATGAGGGCTTCCACAGCGGCGTAGCGAACGTCATCGCAACCATCGTCGAGTCTCCTAAGTATCACCAGGTGTACACGGTGAATGTGTTCGTCGGTTAAATGAGACAACTTTCGGCCGATAATTACTATCGAGCAAATAGCACATATCGAATACAATCTAGTCTTCCTTGCCCTGTCGTCCAGCAGACTGAGCAGGACGGGTAGGACTTTATCGAGGATGGACGAAAACTGTTCCGCTGTGATAGAAATGTCACATTTTGTCGGTGCATCAATCGACGGGACTGCTTTGTCGCTAATCTCGTTCTGCAGAATCGCGCAGAGGCAACAGACGGCCGCTGTGCGTGTAGCCTCAGCCGCTCTGCCGGCGGCCCAGACCAGTCCCGGCGCAACTAGCTTCTCGATAATCGTGCTGACGAATCTGCGAGTCTGCGCCTCGTCGACACGTCGTCGTAGGTCCCGGTTGCTGGACAAGTATTCCGACAACAGAATGAAGTGTCGTAGCTTCAGCTCGGGTTCAGCGTCCTCGGCCATGGTTCTCTCGAGGACAGACGATACGAGATCAACGTTGCGCACGACCACGACGCCAGCGCGACTTAGACAAGCGCCGAATATTTGCGATTCCGCGCTGTACACTGACCACGAGGCGCAATCTTCGCGAATCGACGTTATCAGCGACTCCATGTGATCGCAAAAGAGATCCTCGACATCCTTCAGCGAATTTATGTCAACAAGTATCCTCAAGAGCCTGTCCGTTTCCTCGCGAATGCTGGCCTCCATACTCATCGCGTACGTGGTGAATATCGCGACGAATAGAGATTGAGTTACCGCGGCACAGTCCTGCACATTCCAAATGTCGAAATTATGTGTCGGAACTATGATCTAATACAGAACTCGGAATTAGTTGCCCATTTCGGCCGATTCTCAGGAGCTACGCCTTCTATCTTCCCCTTGCCGCGAGCGGACCACGAAAGTGACAATCGAGCCTCCAAGCTTGAAGCCGCGACTCGGCCCGAGAATTGGCCGAAATGGGCAACTAATTCCGAGCTCTGATCTAATAGACTAAGGGCCGGTTTTTCCAACCTCTTGCTAAGCTAACTAACAGTTAACTCATACGTCTGTCTTTGTTTCTCCTTTAAATTAGGTAGAAACAGACATAAGATTTAACTGTTAGTTAGCTTAGCAAGAGGTTGGATAAACCGACCCTAACTAGTAGAGAGAAGCTTCAGAATGCCTTCGATTTCGTTTCATATATCAGGCTGCCGCAGCAAACTTTCTCTTATAAGAAAAAAGAAAAATAAAGAAAAATCGAACCTCTTCGCAAACCATGAAAAGCGAGTTGCAGCAAGACAATAGCTGACGTTGGTAATTGGTCTTTTTGCTTCGGCAGATATGCGGCTGTTGCAAAAAATTTGCGATTGTTCCTAATTGTGGCGAGAGGGCTTTTCGTTCGCTACCGCTAATAATCGCCGCGAGGACACGCAAGTGCCCGGCTGTCGGAGATTCCTCCACAGTGGGAAGCACCAGTTGACAGTAAGTCCCAGGCTCGACAAAGTAGCCCAGATATCGTGCCGCGGTTTCTACGCAACGCACGACTCTCTCGTCTTTATCGTTACAAGCGCTGCAACAAGTAGTGTCGTGTAACATTTTACAATCCATTTTAATAATCCATCCCAAATATTTCCATGGCATATCTTTAGAAAAGAAACGCCCTCTTAAAGGCCGCAATTAGCGGGGACGTGAGCTTTTACCGATACATCGAAGGCAACAGTTTCTCGATATGCTGCGTAACGTCTTCCTCCACATTTAATATGAGCACACAGAGTAATTGTGCAGAGCGTACTCGAATATCCGGCAGCCAGTCTCCGAGTTCGACGGCGATGCCACAAATAAGTCTGCACAGATTCTGTTGCGCGATCATCCGACATCCTAAATTCGGCCTAGAAACTTTGAAATTACGATTAAATATCATTTGGTTGTCGGTATTATATTAACTTGTGCTGCTCATATTCCTCATTATTTTAAGACTAATCATTACTTGCGTCACATTTATTTCGCAGTTACATAAACATGCAACAAAAGGCATAGAAAAATACAAATGAAATTAATCCAAACTGCAATCGGTAAGTTGCAAGATATTAATTTGAGAAAATTATTTAAGATAAACAGACTCTTTCAATATTCGAGCGAAACGGACGCTTCAACGAAAATGAGAGTGGGAGCAAGTGCAATGGCAACAATGGCTGCATTCAGTAGACTCAACAGTTGCACAACAGTTGAGTAATTTGTCAATGTAATTGGTCTAGATTTAGGGATCTAATAGCAAGAACCAATAATCGTTGATTGCTCACTGAGCGCTTTTTCTACTGAATGCGCCCAATGTATCTCCTCAAATCGGCCACATTATACTTTAGTTTAATTACACCTTACGGAATTACACTGTTTTCGTCCTCTCTCTCTCTCTCTCTCTCTCTCTCTCTCTCTCTCTCGATGATGATGATGATGAATAACGTA